CTCACTAACTCAATGTGTCTTTGGTATCTTTATTGTAGAAGTCAGAACCCTGCACCTGTGCCAAGACTGTGGTTACACTCTAGAGTTATATAAACTCCAAAAAGCAGACTTCCTCTTTCTCGTCCATTAGGTATTTTGGTGATACTTTCAGTATTACATATAGAAGAGCCCCAAGAAACAATTCTGAGCTGGAAGGGAAAAAAAGCTGGCAGTGGTGGTTCATGTCTTTAATCTTAGGAGGCAGAGGTAGGTAGGGATCTCTGTGAGCTCAAAGCCAGCCTTGTTTACAGAACGAGTTCCAGGACAGTCAGGGTTGCACAGAGAAACTCTTATCTCAAAAAATGAAAACAAAAAAAAACAAAACAAAACAAAACAAAAGCAGTTTTCTGTTTGACTAGTATGGATGGATTTTATAGGTGCCCAGGTTTAAGCAAGTCAGGAGCACATTGAAGAACTCTCTGCCAAGATGAGGGAAAGAAAGTTGATGTTTAAACACTGCTTTGAAAAGGGGTCTTTAGCAGTGAAACAGTTAAAGGGAAGCGAGGCCTGGCTGCATCTGGAGGGAATGTTTATGCCGGGAGACAGGAAGTGTAAAGTCAATGACTTGCCCTGGCAGGAAGGGGGCCCAAAAGGAGGGGGAAGGAACAGGATGCCAGAGAGAAGATTCTTAGCTTTTCTCTGCCTGGAAGGCTTTCTTTCACCATTGGAAGCAAGGTATTGGCCAGAGAACTTCTCCCATTGCTCCAGAAAAGCTTAAAATGAGCGCAGCGTGAAGCTAAAGTTGAGAGACACAGGCACTGTGCCCAGAACACTGTCAGAACCTTACCATTTGACTGGAGCAACACAAAAGTGGGAACTGGGATGGCCAGACATCTAGGAACCCAGTTGGTAAAGTCTTCTTACATAATAACGATAAAAATACTTAACATTTATTTAACATTTTTACACAGGAGTGGCATGAGGTTTAGAGCCACTGTCGCGTGTGATTCTCAAGAACCAAGTGAGGACAGTTGGAGCTTTACAAACTGCTCCTCTTTCTACAAACACATATATGGGCTTTGAAGGCTAAAGAGTTTGCCAAGGCAGAAATTTAAATAGTTTTCTCAAGCCAAAGTGCAATTTCAAAAAGTTAAAAATACAATATTTCTTAAAGTGCACAGTAAATGACTTAAAACAAGTGCTCAGAAATAATATTTGAGTTTTTCAGTTAGCATTGCTAATTGATGGGTTTCTACCTAGACAGACCAATTGCACCACAAGTCTACGTTTCATCTCGACACAAAGATTTCCAACATTATACATTCGACAAGTATAAATAAAATATAATTTATTGGTGTATATGTGTTTATGATGTATGTTATGAGCCACATAAACGGACACGGAAGAAGGAAACTGATTTTGGCCTGCCTGTCTTCACTCTCACTACCCTGTTGCTGTGGTAGGAATTGGATCACTGCAGACGGAGGAGCAGCGGCTCTGCAGGAGTCTTCCAGGACTCGGCCCCAGATGAGGACTGCTGAGTGATCCAGCCCACTGAGCTACAGTACCAGATCTTCGGCCTCTCTGTCCGTTGGTGATCATTGTTGGACTGCGCGCATGCGCATGCTCTTTCTAGCAGTTCTGTTCCTTTAGAGAACCCTACCTACTGCAGCTACTAAGTTCATCTTGCGGCCCATTGCTTTGGAAGAGCATGTGAGCCGTGTGTGCAGGAACCTTGGAGAACACAGATATAAGCGATTTTGCTGTGAGTGGCATGAAGGCACATTTCAGGATGAGCCCTGCCAATCCACACTTTCCCGTGTTACTTACTGAGATCGTCATCTCAGAGTTTAAAAACCAAACCACTTTCATATTGGGGCGGTTTCAATGTGAAATTATCTCCCATAGGCCCACAGGTCATATATTTGGGACTACAGGTTCTATTTTGAAAGGTGATGGAAACTTTAGAAGGCAGAGTCTCGCTAGAGGAAGCAAGTTGATAAGGGGTGGTTCTGGATTCTTTTTCTTTCTACTTTCTGTCTGTCGTGAGGTGAGTGGCCCCTGCCCCAGGTTCTCATCCCCATGACTGCAGATCATTAAACCATGAAACTGCAGTACTGGCATCTCAGGAACCACGAGCTAAGTGCGTTTCACCCCTTGAGCTGTTCAAGGCAAGTATTTGTCCGTTACTCAAACCTGAGCGACAGCTTCCGAGAACTTCTCATTCTGGGGGTGGCTAAGCAACATCTCTCCCCATTGCTCCTCCTGAAATTCCTAAAGACAAGCCGAGGTTTTATTACACCAAAGTTCACCTGGAGGAGCCAAAGAGTTAAGGAGGCAACGGGTGAGGAGGACAGCCAAGACCGTGGGTGACTCGGGACCCTGCAGTGTGGATGATGACTTGCCTCTGGTTTTGGAGAGGGATTCCTCCTCCCGTAGTCTTTCCCAGTCCATGTATTGTAGCCTCTTTCTGACCTCAGGGCCATGTGCAAATTAGGGCAGAATTACCTACAACTTATTAGGAGGGGAGGGCAGAAACTCAGGTAAGGGTCCTATGACCCTCCTGCCCTTCCTACTGTGAGGGAATGTCAACAGGCAACATGTCCAGCTGTGGTTATCTTTTGGAAGCAGGCCCGGCTGAGCTCTGGAAGATGGTGGTTTGGCTAAGAGGATGTCCTGTATAACACAGCACAGGAGTGCTATTCTTTCATTCTATTACCACAGAATTTCTGCTTTGGGAGGTTGTGGAGACAGCCCAATGGGTAAAGAGCCTGTGGCACAAGCATGAGAGCCAGTTCACACATAGAAGCCACATATGTGCCTGCCGTTTGTAACCCAAGCCCTGGGAGAGAGGAGGAGAAAGGCACAAGCAGACCCTTGGAGCTCACTGGTGAGCCAGTCAGGGAGCAGTGTTCTGTGAGAGACTCCGCCTCAAAAAGATAAGGTGGGCAGAAACAGAGAAAAAACACAAGATGTTGACCTCTGACCTCCATAGACACACATGCACACATATACACGCACACTCCTGTGCTTATCTGAATGCACAAAGCATGCATACACCTATAACACACACACAAATTACTACTTTTTAGCTTCTTTATCAGATCTCATAAAGTGTTGGTCTGAATGAGAATGGCTCCCATAGGATCACATATTCAAATGCTGGTTCCCAGTTAGTGGAACTGTTTAGGAAGGATTCGGAGGTGTGGCCTTGTCGGAGGAGGTACATCATTGTCTTAAGGTATCAAAAGTCTATGCCAGGCCTATTGTCTTTCTATCTGCAATTTGTGGATAAGATGTGGGCTCTTAATGACTTATCCAGCACCATGTCTGCCTGCCTGCTGTCATGCTCCCCACCATGACAATAATGGACTAACTCTCTGAAACTGTAAGCAACCCCCCAATTGCACGCTTTCTTTTAGAAGCTTCCTGGATCATGGTATCTCTTTACGGCGACAGAACAATAATTAGGACAGAGAATAGCCCAGGATTACATTCAAGTGTGCAATTGAGTTTCAATTTTATCCTTAAACAAATGAGTGGGTTACTGTGCACTAGCCTCTTCCCAGGACGCAGAATGTAAGAGGCACGTCTTGTTGAATTCTTCATTCATCGCTTAGGTCAGCTAGCCAGTGATTAACTATTGGGAGATACCACTTTGGTGCAAGCCTGGAGTTGCCCAGGGCTATTCCTACACTCTGAAATGTTGGTCTTCCTACAGCCTGTGAGAGCCAGTGTGACACTCTAATAGTGACAGATACAATCTGACTTACCCCAAGCTCTTGTCCCGTGGGCATGTGAGCTCTGTGTTCAGTACTCTGAATCCTAGCAGTGACCCGCCCAAACCCCCTTGCTGGCTTTAATGCCGCCTTTGTTCTTCTGCGGCTCACTTTACGTACCCACCTTTCTGAACACTTGGTTCTGGCAGGCTGCAACCATGAAGAGTGTCCACATTGCTAGTTAGTCTCAGAGCCCCTCTGGCTCACTTTCCTCCTCTATTTTCAGCTTCTTCACCAAAGGAAAAGACGAGCCATAATGGCATTTCTACACAAGCGAAAATACTGAGAGGAGCTCCCAAAGCAGCCTGCGGAGTGATAATGAATGTGGAACCAAGGGGGATGGAGAGATGGCTCAGCAGTTACAGGCATGTTCTGCTCTCACGGAGGCCCTGGGAGTGCTTCCCAGCACACGTGCCAGGCAGTTTGCCTGTAGCTACAGTTCCAGGGGATCCAGTGTCTCTGGTCTCCGCAGGCTCCTGCACTCATGTGCACATACAGACACATATGCATACACATAGTTAAAAAAAAGCAAATAAACATTTTTTAAAAGAACATGTGTCGCGAGCTCTATTCCTGAGCAGGCCTTCTGCCATTACTTCGAGGTTTGCAAGTAAATACTCAGGATGACCACAGTCTTTGTTCTAGGAACACGTTTATTATGCCAATAGTCAAATCTCCAATTGTTACTATAGCAGATATAAGCAAACATCAAAACTATAACAATCGTTAGCCAATCAATCACATCACACATTCAATCACATCACACATTCTACTTCAATCAGCAAGGATTCCTATGCCCTAGGCAAGGTCTTCGACCCTATCTTACTGAGGCATTGGTGTGTACGACCTGATAATGGTTCATTCGTGGCTCTCGACATAGACCTCTGGATCAGCAAGTCTTGATCCGCTGACAAGAGCGAGTTCTCTGGCTCTTGGAAGATCTCAGCTGTCAAGTTGCTGGTTCGTTGGATTCTCTATGACTGCTTCTGACAGCATGTCTAGCCAGTCATTTTGAGAATGTCTTCTGGCCATGAGCCTCAAGTTTTTATACTGTTTCTGGCTGCCTTACCTCCTTACTTCTAGATTAGCACGCATGTCTGCTTATCATATAGTTACGTCACACTTGTTCATTCAACTCAAACTCTTATCACCACTGCACACATTGCTTCATACTATTTAGTTTCATTTTGTGTGTCACTTAATATTTCCTCTTAACACTCCTTAACACTCTGTAAATCCTTACAGATTCATAACAACATGTAACATGCCGGGCGGTGGTGGTGCACGCCTTTAATCCCAGTATTCCGGAAGCAGAGGCAGGAGGATCTCTGTGAGTTTGAGGTCAGTCTGGTCGACAAGAGCTAGTTCAAGAACAGGCTCCAAAGCTACAGAGAAACCCTGCCTCACCCCCCCCCTCCAAAAAAGGAAAAGAACATGTAACCTTGGACAAGTTACATGACAATTCTTAACTTTTTGTTCCTCGGGGACATCACCAAGAGTTTGCTAGTGCCAGAACAGACATACATAGGAGTACAAAATAATGGGCACTTTAATCCCAGCACTTGAAAGGCAGAGGCTGGATCTCTCTGAGTTCAAGGCCAGCCTGGGCTACAGAGTAAGTTCCAGGACAGCCAGGACTACATAGAAACCCTGTCTGGAAACAAAACAAAACATTTTTTTTTGAAAGTAGAAAACGTTAAGAACTTAAAAACTAAAAAGACGCCGTCAGAAATGGCATGTCTGAAGTGGCGGGGTGTCATTTAATGTGCAGTGCTGGGGTGGCAGGGTGTCAGCTGTTGTGGGAGTAACTTCCGCTGCCTCAACCAATAATCACTGAAGCAGGAGCCCACAGTGCAGCGGGGAGCGACTTCCGCTCCGTCAGCCAATAGCTGCTGAAATACCAGCCCACTGGGGCGTGGTATACTTCTCTTTTAAAAAGAGAAGCATATCCGGAATAGGCCCTCTTGGTTCCGGCTCTTGGTTCCGGTGCTCGGTCTCAGCTGCTGCTCCTGGCTCCTGCTCCAGCGACTAGGCTCCCTTCCTGACGGTTTATGGTGTATGTAAGTTTTACCCCCCGCCAAATAAATAACCCCTTAAAACATAACTGGTGTGGGATTGATTCGTTAATAATTGGCGCCCAATGTGGGGCCCGAACCCACGACCCTGAGATTAAGAGTCTCATGCTCTACCGACTGAGCTAGCCGGGCCTTGTTTATTGCCTTGTTTTTGGCCACTAGAAGCTCTCTGACCTTTTGTGATCTGTGGATTTAACCTCTGGATTTGAGTGTATATATTCTAGAGTTTACTTTCTCAATCAACACCACTGCCACGTGGATTCAGGTGCGCCCCACCTCCTACTGGCAGGCAACGGTCATTACAGGTAAGATTTTTCTTTTCGGTTGAAAATAAATACATACATACATACATACAAGTACAATTTCCTTTGATTGAAAATGTCGGAAAATATTACTATCCAAAAGTTCAATGGTTTTTTCAGTTGCGCTATGGAGGATATTCTGAAGGATGTCTCAGATATTCCTCTTACTTTGTTATTCCTGGGATCTGTTGCTTTTCTGGTGTTTGGCTATTTTATAAGAAAGATACAGTCCTTACAGACTGAATCTACAATGCTGAGGGCAGAGATTAAAACCTTAAGAACAATTCAGACTGATACCAACCTCCTCAAAAAAGAGTTTGGAGATTTCAAGGAGGAAACTAGATCAGAGTTTGGAGTTTTCAAGCAGGAGACTAGATCAGAGTTTGGAGTTCTCAAGGAGGAGAATAGATCTTTGTTTGATATGACTCGGTCAACTGGCCAAAATATCAAGAAGGTACAGTCTGATATTGCTTCTTTAGAAGGGAGCGTCACTGCCCTGGAGGAGGGGACAACCAAAATGACGCATAACCTCCAGTCCATGACTGTAAGTGCTGAAACATTAGCTGAGAGGATTATAACCATTGAATGTGAAAATCGGACTTTATCAAAAGGGTATGATAGATTAATTGACAGGATTTCCATACAAGAAGGCACAGTACATGCCATGAGGATTATGTCCAAGGAGGATATCGTGTCTCTGACGGACAAGCTCCATGCCTTAGAATCATTAATGAAGGCTTTGGAGCATAATACTGGACAGGAGATTCAGGACTTACAGAAGGCAATGGTGAGCAGATTTAATAAGATTGAGGAAATCATAGACTCTGATGAACAGGAGCAAAAGATAGAAAGGCAACCTTCACCTCAAAAAACTCTCAGTCTACATAGAGTTATACCTGCCTTTCCAGTAATAACATCAGAAAAGATAACTGGCTCCAAAAACCCTAAGGTCGTTAAAGAACATACATGGGAGCCTATACGTATGAATGATCTGAAAGAATTTAAACAAGCAATTGTGAATTATGGACTACATTCATCCTTTGTTAGGGAGATGTTAAAATCCTGGGCTCTGAGCAACAGGGCCACCCCTAAAGATTGGAACCAGCTCACATCAGCTGTCCTTGAGAACGGACCTTTATGGCATTTCAAATGCCTATTCAAACAAGAGGCCAGACTTTTACAACAACAAGAATCAGCGAAAGGAATTGAGGTTTCTCTAGATCAAATTCTAGGGGAAGGACCTTACTCTGATCCTCAGGAACAAGCTCTTTATGATGAAAACATTTTATCCATATGTGCTACAGCAGCTCTAAGGGCCTGGGACAGGGTTCAAGACTCAGGTCAGAGAGTAGAATCATATGTCAGGGTCAAACAGGGTCAGAGAGAACCCTTTAGTGACTTTTTGCAACGACTAACTAAGGCTGTACAAATAGGGATACCTGATCCAGAAGCAAGAAATATAGTAATTGAGTCTTTGGCTTATGAGAATGCCAATGTAGAATGCAAAAGGATCCTGGGGCCTTTAAAGCTCAGATCAGCGCCTTTGGACGAATGGGTTTTACATACAATGAATGTTGATACATTTGATTATGGCAATGAAACATGGGTACAAGAAGCAATTTCCAAAGGTAAAAGGAGACATCAGATTACAAAATGCTTTCATTGTGGCAAAATGGGACACATGAAAAGGGACTGCAGACAATGGAAGTCCAGGAATAATGCCTCTTCTAGGAATAACAGGAATAGGAGGACTCAGCCTTCAGGTTTATGTAGGAGATGTGGAAAGGGCAGGCATTGGACGAATGAGTGTAGGTCAACAAGAGATAAACAGGGCAACCCGTTGCCATCGGGAAACTCAATAGGGGGCCTCTCGAAGGCCCCCATGGCAAATGTGGTCCAGTCATTTCCGATCACTGCAGAGAACATGCCTCTTCAGGGAAATTAGAATGCCCCATGCCTGCTGTTAAAAGCAATAACGGCCTGAAGGATGAGTTAAATGTGGTGAATGAATCAAGAAATCTAAGAGGACAAAGTAAACGAATATTCTGGCAGACTTCTATAAATGAACAAAGGCCACAGCTAAGAGTGTGTGTAAATGGCAAACTTATTACTGGCTTACTGGACACAGGTGCGGATGTAAGTATCATTACACCAGAGTCTTGGCATCCGCATTGGCCTCTTCAGGAGGTAGATATTCAGTTCTTAGGAATTGGAACCCTATCTCGAGTAAGACAAAGCACGAGATGGGTCAATTGTATAGGTCCAGACGGACAAATAGGAAAACTAAGGCCATATGTAGCAAATATTGCAGTGAATTTGTGGGGCCGTGACCTATTGCAGCAATGGAATACCCAAATTAACATTCCTGCTGCTTCCAGAGCCCATATTTCTGAGGACAATATTACAAGATATTACAGATGGCGGAAACCAGCCATTAGAGCTATACAAGAACACAACACAATTGATGGCTCTTCAGAGGTACCAGCAGCCATGCCTCTACAATGGTTGACTGAGAAACCAATATGGACTAAACAGTGGCCTTTAGCTGAGGAAAAGTTACAGGCTTTAGAACAGCTGGTACAAGAGCAATTAGATGCTGGACATATAGAAGAATCTACCAGCCCTTGGAACTCTCCTGTGTTTGTTGTTAAGAAAAAATCTGGTAAATGGAGAATGGTGACAGATCTTAGAGCTATCAACAAGGTTATTCAACCTATGGGCCCTCTGCAATCTGGAATTCCTCTGCCCTCCCTGTTACCAAAGGGATGGCCTCTTATAGTTATTGATCTGAAAGATTGTTTCTTCACTATACCATTACAAGTAAAAGATAGAGAAAAGTTTGCCTTCACAGTGCCTACCTATAATAACTCTCAGCCTGCAAGGAGGTACCAGTGGACCGTCCTCCCACAGGGAATGTTGAACTCTCCCACCCTGTGCCAATATTTTGTAAGCCAACCATTGAAAATTATACGCAAACAATTTCCTAAGTCCATAATATACCACTATATGGATGATATCCTGATATCTGATCAAAACAAAGATACCTTAGAAAGGCTGTTTGAAGAAGTAAAACTAGTATTACCTAAATGGGGATTGCAAATTGCTCCTGAAAAAATTCAGAGAGGAGATTCTGTTAATTATTTAGGTTATAAAATAGGCTTACAAAGAATTAAGACTCAAAAGGCACAAATCAGGAGAGACCGGTTACGAACGCTTAACGACTTTCAAAGATTATTAGGAGACATTTCCAGTCTACGACCAGCTGTTGGGATAACACCTGATCTAATAATTCATTTAAACAAAACCTTAGATGGTGACAAAGATTTGAATAGTCCCAGAGAGTTAACAGCTGAAGCAGAAAAGGAACTGATGATGGTTGAGGAAAAATTACAGGAGGCACATGTAGATAGGGTGGATCCAAATTTTAGTTGCGTTCTAGTTATATTGCCTTCCAGAATTTCTCCTACAGGAATTTTAATGCAGAGGGAAGATACTATTTTAGAATGGATTTTTTTACCACACAAACCAAGTAAAAAATTAAAAACTTATGTGGAAAAAGTCTCTGAATTGATTATAAAAGGAAAATTGAGACTTCGTCAATTAGCAGGTATAGACCCATCAGAAATTATAGTGCCTTTCAATGCTGATGAGATAAAAAAGTTGTGGGAAGACAATGAACCATGGCAAAGAGCTTGTGCTAATTTTTTGGGAGAAATCAATAACAATTACCCAAAAAGCAAGAGACTTAACTTTATAAAGAGAACTTCTTGGATCCTCCCTCGAATTGTCCGTGATGCTCCAATAACCGGAGCCCATACATTTTATACCGATGCTAATAAATCAGGGAAAGCAGGTTACAAATCAGAAGAATTGAGTAAAGTGGAACAAAGTCCTTATGATTCTGTCCAGAAGGCAGAATTATATGCCATCCTTATGGTGCTTAGGGATTTTAAAGAACCTCTTAATATAATTACTGACTCACAATATGCAGAAAGAGTTATTTTGCATATTGAAACTGCTGAATTTATACCTGATGATACAGAACTGACCTCATTGTTTATCCAGGTACAAGACATGATCAGAAACAGGCTCTGCCCTATGTATATAACGCATATCCGATCCCATACAGGTCTGCCAGGTCCTCTAGCACAAGGTAATGCAGATATTGATCAATTATTAATTGGTAGTGTGCTGGAGGCATCTGAATTTCATAAAAAACATCATGTCAATAGCAAAGGCTTGAAAAAAGAGTTTTCTATTACATGGCAACAAGCTAAGGAGATTGTAAAGAAATGTCCTACTTGCTCTTTTTATAACCAAACACCATTGCCTGCAGGGACTAATCCAAAGGGTATTAAAAGGAATGAAATTTGGCAGATGGATGTGTTTCACTTTCCAGAATTTGGCAAGTTAAAATATGTACATCACACCATTGACACTTATTCAGGCTTTCAGTGGGCAACCGCTTTAAGCTCAGAAAAAGCTGACTCAGTAATCACACATTTATTAGAAGTTATGGCCATTATGGGTATACCTGCACAAATAAAAACAGATAATGGTCCAGCTTATGTATCTAGGAAAATGAAACGATTTTTTGCTTATTATAATATTAAGCATGTTACAGGTATACCATACAATCCTACAGGTCAAGCCGTTATAGAAAGATCAAATCGTACTATAAAGGATATGCTAAACAAACAGAAAGGGACGAAAGATACCCCCAGAAATAGATTGCATAATGCTTTATTAACCTTGAATTTTCTTAATGCTAATGAGAAAGGAACAACAGCAGCAGAGAGGCATTGGATAATGGAAAAAACTTCTGAACTAAACCAACCTGTTTATTTCAAAGACGTGCTGACCTCTCAATGGAGGCCAGGAGATGTGCTGCGTTGGGGAAGGGGTTTTGCTCTTGTTTCCACAGGAGAAGAAAAATTGTGGATACCATCAAAATTAATAAAGGTTCGATTTGAAGAGGAGAAACCTCTTGGAAAGGAGAAATGACAGCTCATCCACAATGATGATATTCATAGTTGGTAAGAAAAACATATAGAATGGGGGCAGGGTTCTGTTCTTATCTCCACAGGAAAACACTGATTTTTGAAAAGTTCAAGGGACCCTGGATATCTGAATACTGACAGATGGAAAATAATGGCACAATAAGGACTATCAAGAAAACTGAATAGGTTCTGTAAGTAAAATATACTAAATCATATTTCTAAATTTATAGAGCTGGTTTTAGAGTTGGACTCTGGCTCAGTCCCTCTCTAATTCCAAGCCTGTTGTTAAAAGAAAAACCCAGAATTTCTGGAGTTTCTGTCTCATGTCAAGAGCCATGATATGGGACAGAAAGAAATATGAGTTTAGAAAACATTTTTACTTTTCTTCATATCTATCATACCTTTCAGTGAATATATCTATCATGTCTTTCATTGAATATATGTATGTCTGTATATGTCTATATGATTAATATACGATTATATATTATTATAATCATATAATATATGATATTAATATATGATTAATATATATGATTAATGTTTAATTTTTCCACAATGAACAATAAGTTTTTCCTGCAGTGACATTTGAAGTTTCCAGGAAGAAGATGGGGCCCCATAACAACAACTCCACCTGGTTGATATGACATCATGATACTGATAGCGCTACTACAAGACCTGTTTTGGGTACCAGATGCACAAGACGATGCCAACGTGGTTAGCTGAAATGATGCACATCTTGTACAACATTCTGGCCAGACCTCCACAAAATACTCAGAGACTATTTGCAATTTTAAAAGACATTGATCTTGAAATTTAACCATCATTTTACTTTCACAGGATCCCCCAGAAAGAACGTCGCCCCCATGACAGCTGGAAGTAATTCTAGAGAACGACGTCCCCTCTCCCAGTAAAGTTTGTCCTTGGGTTTAGGGACATCATTTAGGGGTTGGTTATAATTAGTATAGGGTTGAGGGTTGGGGGAGGAATTTTATAAGCGCAGAAAAAAAAAAAAAAAAAAAGAGGGATAATTGGATTATGGGATAATAGCTTTGTACTTGTGAGTTATTGTTTTTGACAAATATATTGGTATTGATTCTTATATATTGATACAAAGTTAAATTATGTTGACTATTTTATGCATACATGCTTCTACCTCTGTTTAAAACATTTTTATGTATTGACATATATATATTGTATTGATATATGTATATTTTACCATATTGCATTGTACACTTCTACCTCTGATTAAGATACTTATATATTGTTTATGTATTGATATATATATTTACCATATTGCAATGTATACTTGCACATTGTTTATATTTGGAGGTCATATTGTCCCCATTTATTGCACAGTTGTTTACTATTTCAGTCTTTAAGTTAGATAGATATTGAGAATAATATAGATCAATAGTCATCTAAGTTTGTCATTTATAATTAGACTAATCAGGTTCTTTAGATACATAGAGATTATATTCAGTATAGATAGATAATCTTCAACCTCTTCAAAGAGCTGTAGAAAATGGCCTTTAATCTAACTCAGAGTTCTGTGGTAGAGAGACACAATCCTTCCTGGCAACACTGATCTATTCCCGAGAGAATGTTGAGCACCAAAGACACTCCACCTGGAGCCTTTCTTCTTGGTAGAACTGGCCTTTGGGTAAAGAAATGCCCATACCTCAACTACTGACAGAGTTACAGAGTATCCATAAATGGATAAAACAGGACTGTCATATCCTGCCAAGACAGGATAAGATAGTTTTGAAAAGTTCCTTGCCTTTGAAAATGGTATGTCAGTTACGTTAGGCCAAAGTTGGTTGCTTCAACGCTGCAAACGTGATTTTGGGTGTTTGCCCAGGTAGCCAGTTGTCTATGTGATTTGTTACATGTTCTGGAAGTTTGATTGCACTTCCTAATTACTCAGGTAACATTATTTCCCTTCTCAGATCTTTGATGGGATTGAAGATTATATAAACGTAGTTACTTTCCTTTTATGACGTGGCCAAGTTATTTCTTATACAAGACTTAAGCTAGTTAGAATAGGATATTTGTATTTATTGTATATAATTGTGTAGGTTTGTACTTACTGTATATAATTTCGTAGTAGGCTTAGAACTCTCTTACTTAAACAAAAGGGGGAGGTGTTGTGGGAGTAACTTCCGCTGCCTCAACCAATAATCACTGAAGCAGGAGCCCACAGTGCAGCGGGGAGCGACTTCCGCTCCGTCAGCCAATAGCTGCTGAAATACCAGCCCACTGGGGCGTGGTATACTTCTCTTTTAAAAAGAGAAGCATATCCGGAATAGGCCCTCTTGGTTCCGGCTCTTGGTTCCGGTGCTCGGTCTCAGCTGCTGCTCCTGGCTCCTGCTCCAGCGACTAGGCTCCCTTCCTGACGGTTTATGGTGTATGTAAGTTTTACCCCCCGCCAAATAAATAACCCCTTAAAACATAACTGGTGTGGGATTGATTCGTTAATAGTCAGCCAGGGGTGCAGTGTGGAGTGTTGGGGTATCAGTCAGGGGTGCAGTGCCTGCCCAGCAGGTGTGAGGCCCTGCAGTCCCCAACGTGAGAAAAATGATCATAATTTTTCTTGTTCATCCCAAAGACCTCATATTAACATCACAATATAAAGCATGGCATAACTTTACAATTTCTATGGTCTTCTTGCTTTTCGTCCTGTAAATACCCCAGATCTCCTGTAAAGCCCCAAATCTCTTAACTGTGGGTTTTTGCAAATTAAAAACAACTTTCCATGCGTTCCTGTTCTCAGAGGGAAGAACCAGGGCACAGCTACAGGAAGAGCAAAGCAAAATCAGCATCCAGGAGTGTAATCGAATCCTAGGCTCAGCGTCCAGCATCTGGGGCTCACAAACTTCCGAGCTCCGAAGGGCTTGAGCAGATCTACTCTGGTTCTGCCATCTGCAGTATGCACAACCCATCTCATAGGCTCTGACAGCTCCACTCCACAGCTACTGGGTGGTCATCCGCCAAGAACTAGAGTCTGGACAACTCTAATATGATGGAGTTTTCACTGCAACGGGGGCTGCCCCATCACCAATGGCCGGCCTCTCCCAGTGCCAAACCTCAGTTTCTCTACATGATCTCCTCAATCCTAGGGTCTCCATTGCAGCAGGGGCTGCACCTTCACCAATAGCCCATCTCTTCGGCTCTCTTCAGGGACTCTGACCCCGCTTTATTGTGTCAAGCCTCAGCTGCTCTCAATGATCCCTTCATGCTTTCGGAAACAGTGCCACCTGCTCTGGGTAGGAGGTCAGTACTGTGGGTGACTTTCCGAGCTCTTTGGAGGAGCCTAGATCACAAATGACTCCCAGAAGTCAGACACGGAGCTTTACTTTGTTAGACTTTGGGTCTACTTGATTGTGGCTGTGACTTCTTGGAGTTCTTCCTTCTTGGAGTAAGAAAATATTTCACTTATTTTGACTTTGCAGGAGATCACGGTTGATGGAGTTTCGAGTTTGGGAGATATTTTGGAGTGTTAGAGAGACTTAGACTATTTTAAAGACTTTGGCTATTTTAGAGGGCCTTGAACTTTGAAAGAGACTTTGGAAGTTTTAAAGAGATTTAACATTTAAAGTGTTTGAATTTGTAAAGACTATGACTTTTAAAAGTTGGGATGCTTTATATTGTGATAATATTAATATGTGATCTTGGCAATGAACAAGAAAGGGAAGGTATGATTAACTATAATGCGTTTGTGTGTTGTGTTAATAAAGGGTCAAGGGTACTGGCTAGTTTTTATGCCAGCTCGACACAAGCTGGAGTCACTGGGGAAGAGGGAACCTCAACTGAGAAAAGTGCTCCTACCAGAGTGGACTGGGAGAAAGCCTGCAGGGCATCTTCTTGATTGAGATAGATGTGGGAGGGCCAGGCTCACTGTGAGCAGTGCCACACCTGGACTGGTGGTCCTTGGTGGTGAAAGAAAGCAGACTGCTAAGCAAGCCATGAAAAGCAAGCCAGTAAGCTGCTCCCTTTTATGGCCTCCTGCCTCCAGGTTTCTGAGTTATTGCCCTGGCTTCCTTCAGTGATAGACTTATAAGCTGTGAAGTGTGTGTGGGGGGAGTTATTATTATTATTATTATTATTGTTATTTTGATTTTTTTGAGACAGGGTTTCTCTGTATAGCTTTGGAGCCTGTACTGGAACTCACTCTGTAGCCCAGGCTGGCCTTGAACTCACAGAGATCTGCCATGCTGTTTCCGCTCCAGCTGACCAATAGCAATTGCCCTAGCAATGCATAGGCTTCATTTAAGTGGTGCTGGCATCTTCCTAATCACAGCACTCTCAAACCCAAGCTGAACAGAAACCTTAGATTCTTAACTCAGAATAGCACACGAACGGCCTCAACAGAGTTTTGAAGGACGCTGAAACTCCATGAGCCAAGCCTACGCAGTCTGCGCTGCTCTCAACCATCGTCCAGTCTCCACACTGGTCGGGCTGCAAGTTCCAAGCCTTGCTAACCCAAAGCTCCACGTGCTTCTGCAACCACTCTCCTCCAAAACAATACAGTTATGACCATCACAGCACTAGTTCACTCTCTGGTACCAATTTCTGTTCACACAGACAGACAGACAGACAGACAAGAAAGTAGGAGGAGAATTATCTAGAAAGAAGAAGAGAATCAATAAGAGAGAGAGGTTAAATAGGGTAATGGGGGTGAAATGTGATAATATATATACACATATATGAAAATATCATTATGAAATCTATTATTGTGTATAACTAACATATATTAACAAGAAACTTTTTTAAAATTCCCGAAAAATTATGCCTGAATTGAACATACACAAGTTTTTATTGTCGTTATTTTCTAAAAAGTTATTTTAACAACAATTTACATAGCATTTAAATATGTTAAGCATTTTAAGTAACTAGAGATGGTTTAAATGTGTGTAGGGGGATGTGAATACCTTATGGGCAAATGCAGTCATTCTCTATGGGACACCCGAACCTTCATTTTTGGTAACTTCACTCAGTACCGGTACAGTCTTCTCATAGACACCCAGTGATAGCTGGTTTCCTTTTCCAAAACAGGATGAGCCGGGTGGTAGTGGTGCAGGCCTTTAATCCCAGCAGAGGGGAGAAAGAGGCAGTCAGATCTCTGTGAGTTCGAGGTCAACCTGGTCTACAGAGTGAGTTCAAGACAGGCTCCAAAGCTACACAGAGAAGCCTTGTCTTGAAAAAAAAAACAAACCACACCAACAGATACGATTTTCCCCATGCCTGTCTTTAAGGTAATTAGGTCTTTCTATTGACTTTACCAAGTAAATTTTTATGAACTGCATGCATTTCATGTATTTCCTTGGCGGCTGGTGGGGGTTAGTGTGTATAGAAAGGACTCTGTGTTGTTCTTGCCAAATCCAGCCGTGGAACACAGAGCCACAGACGCAGAGACGGGAGCTCATTCCTGCACTGTGAGGCCTGGGTTTCTGGGAATTTCATCAAGCTGCATGTGTCATGAATTTTAAATATTGTGTATCTGATTCCAAAAGAGGAAAAATAAGTATGTTGTCCTTTCTTGAAGTCTTGGCTCTGGTCATCACCCTGGCAACCCTTACAATCGGAAAGTGACGTCAAGAGAGAGGAACAGCAATGCTGGGGACTGCGCTCCCTGCATTCTAGATGACCCCACAGACTCACACGGTCTCCAGCGGCTTGAGAATGAGCATCACAGTGTTCTGTTTTATGGACATTTTTCATAAACTTCTCAAGGCCTTGGAAATCCAAAAGGCATCTGAGTTTCAATGGTAACAAATGAGAATTTGTTCGTTTATTAGCTTAGGTGTTCTGTCCTACACAACTGCCAAGGAACACCAGTAAGTCCTCAAATAGCTAAAAGCTTCCCTTTTTTTCCAAAAGTAGTTTTCTCCAACATTTTATTTTGGAAAAACCTCGGGCATAGCAAGCTGAAATAAGGTTAATGTGGACACCCATGTACTTATTATCAGATTTTTTTCATTGTCAATATCCCTTAGAAACCTTGGCTGATGTGTCTATTTGTTCATGTGTTCATTTGTTCATGCATCCAACCATGCATCTACCCATCATCCCATCCATTTCTTTATTCATCTGTTATTCACCATCCTTCCATCATCCAACCATGCAGTTATATATCCATCCATCCATTCATCCATCCATCATTCATCCACCCATCATCCATCATCCATCCATTCATCCATCCATCATCCA